AAATAAAAGGCAAAAAACGCAAATGTGGAAAAATGCTGAAATTGCCACTAAACGCGGGCAAAATGCGGATAAATGCAAAATGCCACAAACTGGCATTTTTGGACATTTTATTAAATCCCCCAAAATTTTATTTTTTTTAAAAAAAGCTAAAAAACGCAAACGTGGGAAAAATGTGGGAAAACACTGCTAAACGCGGCAAAACGCGGATAAAACTCAAAACGCTGCAAGCTGGCATTTTTGGGATTTTTTTTTGACCGAAAAAAAATTTTTTTTGTGGTTAAAAAAAAAAAGTTAAAACGCAAACGTAGAAAAATGCAGGAAAAACGCCACTAAACATGACAAAACGTTTTTTTTTTTATATACATATCTGCCGGAGCGGGGGGAGACGGAACGCAGAGCCTTGTGCCGCGCATAATTCCGCCTTTAATTCAACCAAACTTACGCTTTTTTAAAAAAAAAAAAAAAGACGAAGTTTAGAGAAAAAAGTTTCGGAAGTAAAAAAAAAGAAAAAAGAAAAAAAAAAAAGAAAACTCCAACCATCGAAAGTCACGTCTTCCATATCCGTCTGTTAAAACTAGCGGGTTTATAGAGGAGTTTTTCAGCTGTAAAAACGCTCTAACGCGGCAAAACGCCGCAAACTGACATTTTTGGATTTTTATTTGACCAAAAAAAAAAAAAATTTTTTGGTTAAAAAAAAATAAAAGGCAAAAAACGCAAATGTGGAAAAATGCTGAAATTGCCTCTAAACGCGGCAAAATGCGGATAAATGCAAAATGCCACAAACTGGCATTTTTGGACATTTTATTAAATCCCCCCAATTTTTTTTTTTTTTTTTTTAAAAAAAGCTAAAAAACGCAAACGTGGAAAAATGTGGGAAAACACTGCTAAACGCAGCAAAACGCGGATAAAACGCAAAACGCTGCAAGCTGGCATTTTTGGATTTTTTTTTGACCGAAAAAAATTTTTTTTTTGTGGTTAAAAAAAAAAAGTTAAAACGCAAACGTAGAAAAATGCAGGAAAACGCCACTAAACACGACAAAACGTTTTTTTTTTATATACATGTCTGCCGGAGCGGGGAGACGGAACACAGAGCCTTGTGCCGCGCATAATTCCGCCTTTAATTCAACCAAACTTACGCTTTTTTTAAAAAAAAAATAAAAGACGAAGTTTAGAGAAAAAAGTTTCAGAAGTAAAAAAGAAGAAAAAAAAGAAAAAAAAAAAGAAAACTCCAACCATCGAAAGTCACGTCTTCCATATCCGTCTGTTAAAACTAGCGGGTTTATAGAGGAGATTTTCAGCTGTAAAAACGCTCTAACGCGGCAAAACGCCGCAAACTGACATTTTTGGATTTTTTTTTGACCGAAAATTTTTTTTTTTGTGTGGTTAAAAAAAAAAAGTTAAAACGCAAACGTAGAAAAATGCAGGAAAATGCCACTAAACACGACAAAACGTGGATAAATGCAAAACATTGCAAACTAGCATTTTGGAAATTTTTTTGACCAAAAAAATATTTATTTTTGGTAAAAAAAAAAAAACACTAAAAAAAAACACGTGGAAAAATGTGGCTAAACGCGGCAAAACAAAGCTAAACGATAATGCAAAAATGCTAAAAAAAGCTGAAAAACTCACAAGTGTGCAGGAGGACTTAACAGATGGATATGGAAGACGAGACTTCGATGGTCGGAGTTCTCTTTTCTTTTTTTTTTCCCGCATTTGCATTTTCCGCATTTTTTTGTATTATATTTTTACCCCCTCAAATTTTTATGGGGGTCAAAAAAACTTCCAAAATGCCAGTTTGCAGCATTTTAAGTAGCAAGTTTAGTAGAGTTTTCTTTTTTTATATACATGTCTGCCGGAGCTGAGAGACAGAGACAGAACACAGACTTGTGCTGCGCATAATTCCGCCTTTAATTCAAGCAAACTTACACTTTTTTTTTTTAAAAAAAAAAAGATGAAGTTTAGAGGAAAAAGTTTCAGAAGAAAAAATAAAAAAATAAAGAACTCCGACCATCGAACGCCTCGTCTTCCATATCCGTCTGTTAAAACTAGCGGGTTTCTAGAGAAGTTTTACAGCTATAAAATCGCTCTAATGCGGCAAAACGCCACAAAAAGGCATTTTTGGATTTTTTATTTGACCAAAAAAAAAAAAATATTTATAAAATATAAAAACACCGCAAACTGGCTGGCATTTTTTTAACTTTTTTTTGACCAAAAAAATATATTTTTTGGTTAAAAAAATGCTAAAAAAAAAGCAACTGTGGAAAAATGCAGGAAAACGTTGCTAAACGTGGCAAAATGCGGCTAAACGCTAATGCAAAAACGATAAAATACAAAACCTGAAAAACTCATAAGTGTTCACGAAGACTTAACAGACAAATATGGAAGATGAGACTTTGGTGGTCAGAGTTCTCTTTTCTTTTTTTTTTCTGTGTTTGCATTTTTTAGCGTTTTTTTTAATACCCCCCAATGGTCAAAAAATGTCCAAAACTCCGGTTTGCAGCGTTTTCCTGCGTTTATGTTTTTTAGCGTTTTTTTTTTACCCAAAAAAATATGTATTTAGAGAATGGATGAATGTCTTTGGTAAAAAAAAAAAAAATATATATATATATATATTTTTGACAAGGCCCTAGAGCATGAGTGTCAAACTGTCCGCCCTCCAGCTGTTGCCAACTACAAGTCCCATAAGCCATTGCAAGACTAACAGTTACAAGCATGACTCCCAAAGGCAGAGGCATGATGGGACTTGTAGTTGGCAACAGCTGCAGGGCCACCAGTTTAACATGCCTGCCCTAGAGAAAAACATTTCTAGTGTTGGTGTGCATTCATTTTACATAAAAGGCTTTTTTTTTTTACCCTGTTTTAAAATAATTACTCTGCTAATTTTTTTTTATGTTGACAAATACATATAATAAAATTCAAATTAAATAAGACCATAAAAATGTTAAGGACCCGACCTTTTTCTGACTCTCTTGTTTACAAATAAAAAAAAAATTGTATTTTTTGCTAGAAAATTACTTAGCACCCCAAACATTTTATATATATATATATATATATATATATATATATATATACTGTATATATATATATACATACATAACAAATTATAAATATAAATATATATCTATATTTTTATTTATAATTTATTTATATATTATGTATATATATATATATATACAAATTATAAATATATATATATATATTTACAATTTATATATATATATATATATATATGTATATAAACAAATTATAAATATATATATATATATATTTATATTTATAATTTGTTTTTATATATATATATATATATATATATATATATATATACACACACACACACCGTGTTACAAATGATTCTGCAGATGATATTTCCTCCTTTCCTCCAATAATTGATGTAAATATCAGTCGGCAGAATTCTCAGGTGACAACTAGAAGAGGACAATTCACATTTTATTGAACGAACCTCCTAATGATAACAGGATTTGTGTTCCGGATTATTCCGCACAGGAAGTTTCCAAACACTTTCTAGGTTGTAAAGAACTGAAAATTGTCATTTGGTGTGTTTGCAGCAAATTTACTGAAATCAAAAGCTATTTCAATCCAACTTTTCCCAACATTGTAACTTTGTAACCATTTGAAGCGGTCACGTTACATTGTAACATAGGAGCCCTTATCTGATAGCAGATCACAAGTCTGGCATCCATTGAACTTGGCAGTTTTTGGACAGTTTCTGCTGGAATTTGTTTGTAAGATGTCAGAATAGCCTCCCAGAGCTGCTGTTTGGATGTAAACTGCCTCCCACCCTCAGAGATCTTTTGCTTGAGGATGCTCCAAAGGTTCTCCATAGGATTGAGGTCAGGGGAGGATGGAGGCCACACCATGACTTTCTCTCCTTTTATCCCCATAGCAGCCATTGATGCGGAGGTATTCTTTGCAGCATGAGATGGTGCATTGTCATGCATGAGGATGATTTTATTACGGAAAGCATAGTTCTTCCTTCTGTACCAGGGAAGAAAGTGGTCAGTCATAAACTCCACATACTTTGCAGAGGTCATCTTTACACCTTCGGGGGCTCTAAAGGGGCCGACCTGCTCTGTTCCCATGATTCCGGCCCAAAACATGACTCCACCACCGCCTTGCTGACGTCGCAGCCTTGTTGGAACAGGGTGGCCGTCCACCAACCATCCACTACTCCATCCATCTGGACCATCCAGGGTTGCACGGCACTCATCAGTGAACAGGACTGTTTGAAAATGAGTCTTCATGTATTTTTCTGCCCAATGCAGCCGTTTCTGCTTGTGAGCATTGGTTAGTGGTGGCCGAATAGAAGGTTTCTGCACAGTTGCAGGACTCTGGAGGACTCTACACCTTGATGTCCGTGGGACTCCAGAGGCACCAGCAGCTTCAAATATCTGTTTGCTGCTATGTAATGGGATTTTAGCAGCTGCTCTCTTGATCCGATGCCTGGATCTGGCAGAAATCTTCCTCAATGTGCCTTTATCTGCACCAACCCGTCTGTGCTCTGAATCAGCCACAAATCTCTTCATAGTGCGATGATCACGCTGAAGTTTTCCTGAAATATCGAATGTTTTCATCCCTCGTCCAAGGCATCGAACTATTTCACTCTTTTCGGCAACAGAGAGATCCTTTTTCTTCCCCATATTGCTTGAAAATGGCGCTCTGCTTAATAATGTGGAACGCCGCGTCCTTTAGTAGTTTTTTCCTGAAATTGGGCTCACCGGCCAATCTAATGATCACAGGTATCCCAGATTGTTTTCAGTGATCAAAAGAGCCCTGACACACAATGCCATCCATGAGTTACACTGAAAAACAAAAGATTTATTCTTTGTGACACTTATGCAGGCCATAGATGGGTCGAAAATCGGCCGATTTTTTCAGCCGAAAATAAAATCAGCCGATTTTCGAATCGTTAGTGGGCTATTTGTTCGGCCGTTTTTTGGTATTTTGGCAGATTTTTTTTATCGGTAAAGTTGGAAAAAAAATCGGCCGATTTTGCCAATCAGCCGATTTTCGCGGCAATGATGGGCAAATCGGCCGATTTTTTTACCGATAAAAAAATCTGCGCATGAGCAGTGATATGCAAGAGGAAGACAAAAAGAAGAAAAAGAAGAAGAGGATGAAGAAGAAGAAGAGGAAGAAGAAGAGGATGAAGAAGAAGAGGATGAAGAAGAAGAAGAGGATGAAGAAGAGGATGAAGAAGAAGAAGAGCATGAAGAAGAGGATGAAGAACAAGAAGAAGAAGAAGAAGAGGAAGAAGAGGATGAAGAAGAAGAGGATGAAGAGGAAGAAGAAGAAGAAGAGGATGAAGAAGAAGAGGATGAAGAATAATAATAAGAAGAGGATGAAGAAGAGGGTGAAGAAGAGGGTGAAGAAGAAGAAGAGATGAAGAAGAAGAAGAAGAGATGAAGAAGAGGAAGAATAAGAAGAAGAGGATGAAGAAGAGGATGAAGAAGAAGAAGAAGAGGATGAAGAAGAAGAGTAAGAAGAAGAGGATGAAGAAGAAGAAGAGTAAGAAGAAGGAGAGGATGAAGAAGAAGAAGAGGATGAAGAAGAAGAGGAAGAAGAAGAGGATGAAAAAGAAGAGGAATTCCAGTCCGGCAAAAAGTGTCCCTGCAGAGAGCTCCGCTATTTTTTGACAGTTCCTTGACATTTATAGCAGTTGCAACATTGTATCTATTTGTTTCCGAATAAAAACATCTGTATCCTAAATGGATACAAATAGATACAATGTTGCAACCGCTATAAATGTCAAGGAACTGTCAAAAAATAGCGGAGCTCTCTGCAGGGACACTTTTTGCCGGCTGTAGATGGGATGAAAATCGGCCGATTTTTTCAACTGTTGCTGGTAACGTCGGCCGCTTGAACGACCGATTTTTCGTTTTTTTTAAAGAAAAATCGGCCGATTTTCGACCCATCTATGGCCTGCATTAAATAGAATTTGCAGAATAATTTGGAACGCGGTGTATATAAATATATAAAACGTTTGGGGTGCTGAGTGATTTTCTAGCAAAAGGTACAACTTTTTTTGTTTACTTGTAAACAAAGAGTGTCAGAAAAAGGTCGGCTCCTTAACATTTTTATAATTTTATTTAATTTGAATTTTATTATCTGTATTTTTTCAACATCTAAAAAAGAAATTTACAGGATATGTTTTGAAAAACAGGGAAAAAAAAAAAAAAGCCTTTTATGTAAAATGAATGCTCACCAACACTAGAAATGTTTTTTTCTAGGCTCTAGGCCCCAATTCCCCACGATGATAGAGGGGTTAGTGCCAAAAATTGATGCGGTTTCAGAAAAGAATGCATTTTTGCATAAATTGTAATGAAATACGTACACGGGGGAGGCGCTCTCGTTTCATTAAAGAGTTTAGATTGTAAGCTCCGCGGGCCGGGCCCTCCCATTCCTTCTGTCCTGAACTGTCGGCGCTCTATAAATCCTGTATAATAATAACAATACAGTCCTGTGGCTTATCCTGCGATTGATTTTTTTGCAGCAGTCACTGAATAACCAACACTGCTGACACTCAGCCACTAGGGGGAGCCCTGATGGGTGCATCTATGAAGTTCTAGCCTGGAAATACGGCTCAGCAAGCCGTTCAAAATGTGAAAGTCGGAAATCGGTGTCAACGAATAACTTGAACCGCGTCTTCTCTAAAAATCCGCCGCGTTTCCCTTTAATGCGTACAAAGCGGCGTCTCTCTCTCCCCTCCTCCATCCCGAGCTGTCTTAATTAGAATCTGGAGCGATGCTGTCAGATACCGTCAGCGGTAATACGCACCTTCAGATAAAATACTCGTCTCTATCAGCGGCGGCGAGGGATGCGAGCAACCGGCCCGGCTCAGCGACATCCAGATAATATCCGCCATTATTCAAAGGAGACGCAATTTGTCATCTTAATTGATTCCTGTTGGAGGCGCGCGTCACTTCTGAAACGCCGTCCCCCAGAAACAAGTCTGAAATCTCAATCTCTCGCCTCCTGCAGAGGGACCCCGATTGTGTCGTTGCCGGATTTGCCTGCTGAAGGTTCAAATATAGATCTACAGATTCTCCCTCTAGTGGAGGTTGTGCAAACAGGCATTCAGGCAGCACCCTTGCTGAACAGCTGCTGTGAGAATACTCAGAAGACATATAAAGTGTGTTGTCCCCAGGGGCGGACTGACAACTCATGGGGCCCCCGGGCAATAGGGGATCACGGGGCCCCTGTGTCCTCACCCACACTCAAAACCACGCCCAAAAAAGCCTATGAAAGGTACCAGGGGCATCTCATGGGGCCCCCTACTGACCCCGGGCCCGAATGGTCAGTCCGCCCCTGATTGTCCCCTATGGGTCAGAGTCAACTGGTGGACCTGCGCTGAGAGAGCGAGCAATAGGAAAGAATCAGTCTTATCGATATTCTCTAAACGCAAAGATGTTTATGTATTTAAAAAATTGCTTTGCAAAATTCAGCATTCATACAAAAGTCAGAAAAATACCTGAGATATAATACATAGTTAGTCTGGCTGAAAAAAAGACAAAAGTCCATCCAGTTCAACCATTATAAAAAAAAGTTATAAAAATTAAAAAAAAAAAAAAAAGTGCAAATGTTTCTATTTGTTGCCTTTTGCTGGATAAATGTATCATTATCATTATTTATGTTCATAATATTATTTACCTATATATTATTATTTTAGTTATTATCATCATATTATTATTTATACATTATTCATTATCATTATATTATTTGTTATCATATTGATGTTTATGTACGATATATATATATAAAATGTATTATTATCATGTCATTATTTTTATTTATATATTATTTATCACCATTATATTATTATATATTATTTATCTTATTTATCTTATTATTATTTATATATTATTTATTTATTATAATTGTCATATTATTTATTTATACATTATTCATTATCATTATATTATTTATCATATTGATGTTTATGTACAGATTTTATATATATATATATATATATATATATATATATATATATATATATTATTTTATCATATTATTATTTATACATTATTTCTTTATTATCATATTATTATTATTATTTATTTATACATTATTCATACATTACTTATATTATTATCCTTTTGATATTTATGAATTATATAGTATTTATTATTATCATATTATTAATTTATTTATATATTAGTTATTATCATTACATTATTAATCATATTGATGTTCATTTATACAATATATTATTTATTTATTATTGTTAATATTATTATTTGTTTAAATACCTTTTATTATCATTATATTATTTATTATCATTATATTATTTTATTATTCAATCATATTATTATTTATACATTATGCAGTATCATTACATTATTATATTCTTTATTATCAATATATTTATATTTATTTATTTATTTATTATATGGCATTTATTGATTATCATATTACTATGTGTTTATATATTATTTATTATCATTATATTATTTATCATATTTATTTCTTTATTATCTTATTATTATTATTATTATTTATTTATACATTATTCATTGTCATTACATTATTATATTAATTATTATCCTTTTGATATTTATGAATTATATAGTATTTATTAATTAACATATTATTATTTGTTTATATATTAGTTATTATCGTTATATTATTTATCATATTGATATTCATTTATACAGTATATTATATATTATTATATTATTATTTGTTTTTAAATACCTTTTATTTTAATATTATTTATTATCATATTGATATTTATCTATTATTAATATATTATTATGTATATATTATTTATTATCATTATATTATTTATCATATTATTATTTATACATTATCATTACATTATTATATTCTTTATCATATTGATATTTATACATTATGCATTATATTATTATATTCTTTATCATATTGATATTTATTGATTATCATATTACTATGTGTTTATATATTAGTTATCATTATATTATTTATCATATTGATGTTTATAAAGAATGTGGCAGGAAACTGGAGAATCCGGAGGAAACCTGCTCAGGCACAGGGAGAACATGCAAACTCCAGGCAGGTGGTGCTGTGGATGGGATTTGAGCCGATAACCCGAGTGCTGCCAGGGGGAAGTGCTAACCACTGAGCCACTGTGCCGCCTGTATTGTTACCTATCAATGGCAATAAAAAACGACATTTCCTGAATTGAAAAAAATACACATTTTATACTTCGATGTTTCCTCCAGGGTTGCAAGTAAAGAGTGTGGGAGGAAACTGGAATACCTGGAGGACACCCGCACAGGCACAGGGAGAGCATGCAAGCTCCAGGCAGGTGGTGGTGTGGTTAGGATTTGAACCGATAACCCGAGTGCTACCAGGGGGAAGTGCTAACCACTGAGCCACTGTGCTGCCCGTATTGTTACCTATCAATGGCAATAAAAAAACGACTATTTCCTGAACTGAAAAGAATACACATTTTACACTTCTGTGTCCTCTGGTTGCAAGTAAAGACTGCTTTCTATCTTTTATTCATTAACTGTTCAGCAAGGATGCTGCCTGCACGACTGATTTACAGCGAACCACTAGAGGGAGGCACCAGAGTTCTGTAAATGGATGGCAGTGGGGAACACATCGAACATAAAAGGCAACAATGTTGCGTCAAAAAGTAAAACTTTTTTTTATTAGAAGAAATAGATGATGTCTTTTTTTTTTCTTTTTTTATATACATTTTCTTCCTCGATTATTGAAAGAAATCCTGGAAACATCCAAGTGTGGGTATGGGGGGGGGGGGGCTGCTTTTTCCAGAACGACTTTCCGTTGCTCCCCCAGCTAATTAATTCGCTTATTTAGCAATCCGCAGAGATCTTGTCGTTCGGCGCCTTCCGCCCATCGCGTTTTCGAATGAAAAAACATGATATTACGTTAATTAATGTTTAGAAAACTAATTAGTTTTTATGAATGATCTGACGTCAGCTGGCTTTGTGAGGAGCGACAATTGATGACGGAGGAGGAGGAAGATTCTGGAAGGAATTCTAATGAGGGTTTTCACACGGGCCAATCAGAGTTCATTCACGGCGGTACACCGCTAGACGTCATCTTCCTGCAGCTGGATGTATGTCACAGCAAGTCGCTGAGATGTGTATCGGAGGATTACAGACTGTACATTGTAACATTGTATCTGAATATCAAAACCGGCCATAGATGGATCGAATCTCAGATGGTTCAGCAGGGACCGGCCGAGATTTGATCCATCTATGGGCAGGTTGGTTGTACTGAAGGCGATCCTTTGATCAACTTCAGCGTAACCAGCCTGTCGGATTTTTTGCGTGCGATTAATGCCAGCGACAACTACAATGCATCATTATT